CAAAGAAGATATGGCAGCATTGCAGGGTAGCAATTTAGACTATGATACCCAGAGTGGGGCTGGAAGAGGCAAAATGCAAACAAAAAGAAAAAGCAGCAAATGGGGTCAAGGGAGAAAAGGGTAAAAAAGCAAAGCATATGGCTTTTTACTTAAATCCACAATATTCAATAAAATAAATGAATTAATGGCAAAAGTAGAGGCTATTGGGTATGATTTTCGTAGCAATTACAGATCCATGGTTACAAAGAGATCAAAGTTGGGAACTAAATAATCAAGGGTACACAAATTTTTGAAAGGGCAGGCAAGGAAAGGGTGGTGGGGTAGCTTTGTTAATACAGGTTGGAAGAAATAGGATAGCAAGGAATTATCTAGCATCAGATGATGTAGAATAGACTGGTGGGATGAGCGTATAGGCCCCCTAACAGTAGCTATACTGTACGACAAAGAATAAATCAGGGCATAATGAAGACATGTAAAAAAGGCAATATTATAATATGGGTGACTTGAATATTCGTGTAGTTTAGAAAAATCAAATTGGTAGAGGTAGCCACAAGGAAGAATTCATAGCATGTATTTGGGCCAGGTGCTTGAACAATATTTTGTGGAGCAGGCTAGTTTGGATCGGGCATTGTATAATGATACAAATTTAAGAAAATATCTGAGGAGTACAAGATCCCCGAAGAAACGGAGACAATGACACGGTAGAATGCAACATTCAATGTGAGAGTTAGAAACTTGGGTCTAAAACAACAGTGCTAAACTTAAATAACGGTGATTACAAAGGAATGAAGGTAGAGGTACGTGGATTCGAGTGGGGAAAATGGGTTTGGCAGCAAAAATCAGAGGATTGCAGAAGTTATAAAAGCCAAAAGTGGTAACAAAGGTTCAAATAAACCTTGAGGTTAAACTAGCAATGGGAAACCAGGAAATGGCAGAGGAATTGAATAAATACTATGCAGTCTTCATGGTAGATTTGGTGCTGGCCTAGTGGGATTATCACTCATCTAGTAATCCAGACACCCAGACCATATTCTGGGGAAGCTGGTAAAATTTGAATTCATTTTTGTAAAATCTATAATTAAGAGTCTATTGATGACTATGAAACCATCCATTGCCAATTGTCTGAAAAACCCATCCGGTTCACTAACATCCTTTAGGGCAGAAATGTGCTGTCCTTACCTGGTCTAGCCTATGTGATTCCAGGCCCACAGCGATGTGGTTGACTCTTAACTGCCTTCTGGGGAATTAGGGATGGGCAATAGATGCTGGCCTAGCCAGAGATGCCTACATCCGGATGAATACATTTAAAAAAAAAGTAACAGCATTCCAAAGATACTAAATAATCAAGGGGCTAAAGGGAGGGAGGAAATAAACACAATAACTATAACTAGAGAAAAGTAGTACTTGGGAAATAATGGGGCTAAAGGCTGTGCATCCCAGTAAATTAAGAGAATTAGTTAGTGGATGGTCATAGATACTGGTAGTCATCTTCCAATAATCCTTAAGATCTGGAAAAGTCTCAGAGGACCAGAAAGCTGACTGCGTAACACAATTTTTTAAGAAAGGAGACAAAACCAAGTAATTACAAGGGAGTTAGCTTAATGTCTGTTATCAGATAAATTTCAGAGTGTATTATAAAGAATGCATTTAAAAATACATAATATGATCAAGCAGCGTCAGTACGGCTTCATGAAGGGAAAACCATATCCAACAAATTTATCAGAATCCTTTGAGATGGTAATAAACACGCTGGATAAACAGGAATCAGTATTTGTAGTATATTTGGCTTTATAAAAGGCATAAGGTGCTGAATACAAGATTACTTAGTAACAGCCAGGCTACTGGGCTACATTCCCTGCAAATTTTGCTGTTGCTGAACAGACCTCCAAGGTCTGTGTGCAGCAGCAGCTTCTGTGACTGGAAGCCGATTTGTCAGCATACCAGTTGCTGTGTGTGTGGAACCTCAGAGTCCCTGCTTGGCCACACTACATAGAGGGAACGTTGGTGTTGGTAGAAATATATTTTCACAGATGAAGGATTGGCTAACTAAAGAAAATCAGAGTGTTGAAATAAGGAATACCATGAATATTTTTGGTCCCCTTATATAATGAAAGATATAATGGCATTGAAATAAGTCCTGAAAAAGTTGATTGGATATGCAGGAATTTTCTTATGAGGAGAAGTTGTGTCGGTTGGATTTGGGCTCATTGGAGTTTAGAAGAATGAGAGGCAGCTTTATTAAAACATACAAAATGTTTAAGGGACTTGGCAAGGTAGATTAGAGAGGTTGTTTCGGCTTGCGGGACAGTTTAGGACTAGAGGTCATCATTCAAAAATAAGGGTCACGCATTTAAGAGAGTTGAGGAGCAATTTTTTTAATCTCTGAGGGTAGTCAATATGGGAATTCTTTACAACAGAGGCTGGGTCATTTAGAATATTTGAGAATTAGTGATCATTCATAAAAGAATCAAGAGAAAAAGCAAGAAAGTGGAGTTGAGGATTAGTGAATCAATCATGATCTCTGTGAATGGTGGTGCAAACTCAATGGGTTGAATGGCCCACATCTGCTCCTGTCTCTTATGGTCTTGTTAGCTGAAAAGGAAGAACATGCAGGGCTCCAGGTAGAAAGTAGGGAAATGCCACAAGCAAATTGCTCCTATGGACAGCAATACTGACATGATGGGTGAATGGTGTTATTCTGTGCTGTAACAACTTTGAACTATTCTGTATAATGATCAGTGCCAATGGAAGCATATCTCATACCTTATCTCATGTTCCATTGCAGAAAAACATGGGCATTAGGCATTTTGGCAGAAGGAATAGGATGCGAAAACCAAAGCATTGCTCTAAAGTGTGTGCAGGGTCGGAGGGAGTGAGGGTGAGAATCGAGTCCATCGTTCTTTCAAAAAGCAACTGGATTTTGAGCTTCATAAATAAAGACATTGAGTACAAAAGCAGGACCTTACCCTGAACATTTACCAGCTCTAGTTAGGCCCCAATTCAAAGACTGCATCTAGTTCTGATCACCATGCTTTAGGGAACATGCAAGGGTCTCGAAGATGCAGAACTGATATACCAGAGTAATTTGAGAATGTGGAGTTTAATTACAAGGTTAGGTTGACAAGGTTGGAGTAGTTATTCTCCTTGGAGAAAAGGAGATCGAGGAGAAATTTAACAGAGATCTACGAGATGCGATGGTGAGGAACATTTTTCAGCCAGAGGGCGATGAAACTGTGAGACTCACTGCCGCAAAAGACGGTGGAGGCCAAGTCATTGAACGTATTTAAGACTGACATAGATCGCTTCTTGATCAGTAAGGGGAATCAAAGTTTACTGGGAGAAGGCAAGAGACTGGGGATGAGAAACACATCAGCCACGATCAAATGATGAGCAGAATGGTTTAATTCTGCTCCGGTATGTTATGATCCGATTAGCTAAGGCAGACAAGGAAAATAGCTTCCCGCTAGCCGAATGGGTGAAGGAGCAGAGGATGAAGGTGGGAAAATGTAGGAAAAAACCTTTCTCTACATAGTGACTTTGATAACCTGGAATTGTGCTAATGAGTGGCGGGCCAAGTAGAAACAATGAATGGTTTTAAAAGAAACTCTAATGGGTACTTGAGAAAGGAATAAACTGGCAGGGTTTGAGCAAAAAACAACTGAATTGACTGGAATGGTTTAAGAGATGACATGGTAGCGATGAAACAAATGTTCTCCTTCTGTGTCACAGAAAGCGGCGGAAGCCAAAACATTGAATGTTTTCAAGAACAAGTTAAGTATAGTTCTTATAGATAAAGGGATCAAAAGGTACGTGGAGATGGTGGGAATAGGGTACTGATTAGGATATCAGCCAGGATCATACTAAATGGCTGAGCAGGTTTGAGAGCTGAATGGCCTATTTCTGCTCCTATTTTCTGTTTCCTATGCTGTGACTAATCTATTGCTATGACTTGAGAAGTGCGTTGGAAATATGACCTGATAAAGATCTGTGAAAGTACAATTATAGGCTTTGCTTGACTGCTGCTTGAGCTTGGCAATTTGTAACGGGGAAGTGATATTTAATTTGGAATAGTACAGGATTTTGTACATTTCACATGGCCATTGCTCAATACATCAACCATACAGGTAAGACCAGAATTAGAAGTGGTTAGAAAGAGATCTAGGCATTCTATTCTGAAGACACTCGAGTCGGTTGGATGCTTTAAAGATATGACTCATCACCTTCTCGAGTAATTAGGAATGAGTGATAAATGCTGAACTAGCTGCCAGCCGAGTTTCTTCTGCACTTTTTATTCTTACTTTATATTTGTAAATGTAGACTCAGGAGTTTTCCAAATTGAATTAATAAGATGAAAGGAACAAATGGAGTTCAAGTAGAGAATTTATTTCAATAAGTCATGAAAGGGCCAGGTTCTGATTAGATACCAGAAGGTGGTACTTCTCCCAGAGAATGGTAGATCTCTGAAATAGACTGCTTGCTCATGCGTTGAATGGCGACTTGCTGTACAACTTCAAACATGAGCTGAGGTGCACATCACCTCTCTTAGGTAAGCATATGACAGTGAATTCAGAGCCACAGTAATGTCCTAGACTATGTGCAACTGCTTGAGGGTTCGGAGGGCAATTCCTCAGGCCATTATGTAGTGAAAAATCTGAGTTTTAAATTTGGTTTATTGTCTCTCTCAGCCAACAAATCATATGTTGGCATGCATGGGTCTGGCATATATGGGTCTGGCTCAATGGACCAAAGGCATTTCCTGTCCATTATTCTTTAAATAAACATTTGAACTCCCAACAGAAACATATCAACTCCAGTAAGTCCTATACATTCCCACACATTTCCACCTCTCCCATGACTTCACATTGGTCTCCCCAGGACTGAACATTATGGCCTCGTCAGTGGAATGTACGATAACTTATAATGTACTGCTCCTACACACTCCATAAGACTGAGCAGCACTCTTATTGCCTAAGAAGTAACCATCCAAACCTCCCTCCCACCTGTTTGAGTATCCGATCAATTGACTCCCGGTCCATTTTGCAGGATACAGCATCTTTCCTCAGCCGTGCTGCCACGGTTCCCAGGTAATCAAGAGAAGCTACTCGGAGAGCCATCTCTGTCGACTTGTTACTGAACTGGTGAACCTGCATTCAGGAGTACAAGAATAAAGTGTTAGAAATAATGGCTCCACATGGCACAATCTTCCACCTTAAACGTTTGTCAAAATATATAAATTTCCTGTACCTTTTCTCAAGTAAATGACTAATTATGACAACTGTCTCTCAAAAACATTCACATCATTATACACCACATTTGGCTACAAACAGAATGACTGTGCAAGAGACACAGCTTGAAATTAGCTATTTAAGTCTGGTGACAATGGTTGAGCCAGTTCTTTGGGATGAATATACCTAATGGTGCTCGATCTCATCACACACTTACCACTGGGGTCCATAATTCAACAGTCCACTGGCTGGTTTAATTTTATTCACATTTTGCGCTTTGAAATTCAAGTAACTCCTTTGAAATTGGTGTCTCAACATCAAATTTGATTATACTGAATGAAAGAACAATAGTTTCACTTCACTAATGAGTCAAAATCTCAAAATATACAAAAGAAATGCAAGTTCCCACAAAGTCCAATGGGACAGTGCTTAGCAAGTTTAGATTTCAGTTTAGATGTTCGATTTTATTGTCAGCTGTACTCAAGTACAGGAGTACAGTCAAAAGTCCATAATGTTGCCACACATGGCGACATCTTAGGTACCAAGATACATAGATACTGAGGAAGGGGCACTCAACCTGAAACATTAACACTAATTTCTCTCCACAGATTCTGCCAGACCTGCTGAGCTATTCTAGCAATTTCTGTTTTTGTTTATTAGGTACAAAAAAGCTTAGATATAAAGTAGTAAGAGGAATGAGGGATTAAAAAAAAGATAAGCATTACTTCATAGAATAGTAGAAAAATAAAGAAATAGGTAATAGTTTACAGTTATAGTAGGAACTGCAGATGCTGGAGAATCCGAGACAACAAGGTGCAGGGCTGGATGAACACAGCAGGCCAAGCATCA